ATAAAAGAGAATAAGCCAGATTTTTTATTACTTCTTGTCGAATCCGAAATCCTATACTGCGTTATGATAGGGAGTGACTATAAAATTTTAAAAGTTTATTAAGTATAAAGAAACTTCAAACGTCTTTCTTTGAACATTTTTACCTAGTAACTTTAAAATAACATCTAATTATAATTTAAGAGAACCCACAATCTTACGCGCTTTTAGCATTTCAAGTAAAAAATAAACGTTAATATCTTAGAAACTGAGTTAATCTATGAACCACGTTGAATTACATAGGAAAACGATTTTTGCTGAATTATTATTATGAGTTATTTCGTATTAATAGTGATTTGTTGTGATGAATTATATAACTACAAGTTAACAGTAAATTGATTATTATTATTCGTACTTTAAGAAACATTAAATAGTGCCCATAGTTTTTATTAATTTTTTATTGCAGTATGAGAATACTTCCTCATCACCAGAATACTGGAGGATTTTTTGTTGCTGTTTTAAAAAAATTGAAACTTTTACCATGGGAAAATAATGCTCAAATTGAAAATTCTGTTCGTGAACAATCAGAGTTATATCCAATAAAGGAAATTGCGGATGGTCCCGTGAAAGAAGAGAAAAAAAAAAATTTTGGAGATACTTCGGGTGTTCATGAACCTCAAAGAAAACGAAAAAAGCTCTCAGGTTATAGAGAAGATCCATTCATTTTTTTTAATGATGAAAATGAAGACGTATGGCCATCCATTAGGTAAGTGCTTTAAATTAATAAATATTAAGCAAAAACCGCTTAGAAAAAATGTTTAAATTTGTTTTTGGTGTGTACGCCAAACAAAACTATTGTTTATAAATAAATTAGAGAAATCAAAACATCATCATACAAGTTTTTTTATTTAGGTGAACCAAACGTATAAAGTGTAAACGTTTCACGTTTAAAATTAAAGTTATTTGCTTCTTCATAGTGTAATGATAAATTAGTACGTTATTAATTAAATGATCAGTAATAACGCATTAATTAGAAATATTACACAAACTTCTAGTTAAGTGCTCAAACTGCAAAAAAACAAAAACACTGATTTTCCTATTTTATTATGTCTGTATACCAATGATGTAAGTGAAGACAATAAGGAGGAAACAAGTGGTTCCCTTTCTCTGTCGCGGGTGATGATCATTTTAAGCAGATTATGGGCCAGGAAAAGAAGGGAGCGATCAGCAGTTTTTTTTTAATCGCAGGCAGTGATCACTTAGAGCAAGATATGGTCAAGGAGAAGGAAAAGAAGTCAGGTGGTTTCCCTTTTCACTCGAACGTGGTGATCATGTAGATATATTTGTGTAAAAAAAAAAAAAAAAAAAAAAAAAAAAAAAAAAAAATTAAAAGAAACAAACCAGGGGGTATAAATAGGTCATGGGACCCACGGTTAAAACGAAGTTCTTTAAACATGAGATGAGTTTAAAGACACACAATTTCTCCGGTGATAAGGGGGTCGCTAGAGTCATAGGAAGAACGAAGTTCTTTAAAAATAAGTACTGCATTCATGTAGTTCACTTAAACAAAAACTTGAAAAACGAATTAAAAAAAAAAAATGAGAAAATTTAGTTCAGTACTCACGATAGTTGAACTTCGTGAGTACTGTATTTAAGCATGACGTACTCACGAAGTTCAATTGTGTGTCTTTATATTCATCTCATGTTCAAAGAACTTCGTTCTTACCGTGGGTCCCATGACCCATTCATACCCCTGGTTTGTTTCTTTCAATTTTTTTTTGTTTCTTATTAGGGAATGTTGTTCCACACTAAATGTATTTTTACTCTGTCCAATGGCATGGGGTTATTTATGAAGTGTATTCTGGTCGTCTAATTAATTATTTTCACTGTGTATGCTACTTTCATCAGTTTTGTTATCACTAGGCTTCAAGAAATTATCATCCCTCTAATAAAATCAATGTATTATATTAATCTCATAAGTGAATATCAGCTTTTATGTTTCAAAATTTTTTGTATTGAGGTATATTTGACTTTTCGGGCTGGCATAAGATGTATTCGTCATAAAATTTTTGTTAGACAATGTTATCCCTAAGACACTCTCATTTTTTGTTAGTATTAAGGGTAGTTGCTCAAATTATATTTCCCTGCTCTTGTTTCTTAAGTTTTATTGTCTTCTGTTCTTTTCCATTCCTTTCCAGTCGCTTCATTTCTTTAAGAGTTTTAAAAAAAAGAATGGGATTCATTACGTCATCATCTAATACTATAGAATTATGATAATACGATAATATGGCTCGTCGTTATTTACAAATGTTTTGACCTAATAGACCGCCATCTTTGATGGGAAAATCGTAAGGGATCACACGAAAAATTGTAGGTTTTTCTTGTATAGTTATATGAGGTTTTCCTTTTGTTAAAACTGGGTTGGGTGTAATTCCAGTAAGATTGATAATTTTATTAGTCTTTACACGTAAATATGGGGGCAACTGGTCTTATTTAATCAAGTTTGTGGCATTACTATTATGGAGCATATGTCTGATGAAGCAATTCTTCCGTTCTGGAACTGACAATCTTGTGCTTGTAGGCTCGTCCTTTACGCAAAGTCCCTGGTACACACCGATATGGACGGTTTAAATTCTGTTGCTATATTCAGTACTTGCGCTGAATTACGAGGGTTAAATTTTTTCTTTGGGTGCTCACCTCTAAACGAGGATTAAGGTGAGCTGCCTAAGAGTTTATATAATGTGGCAAATGGTGATATCCTGGTTCGTACTGATTTTAAAAATTCTGATTTTGATTATTGCGACTAAGATCTTGTTGCTTATTATTATTTTACTTACTATTTTGGGAGCTTCTGTTATAATTTTGACCTCTGCCCCAATATCCTTGATTATTCCCAGGATGACAATTAGCATTCCTTTAAATACAATGACCATTAGATTCTCGTTATCATATCGTCGAAAATTATTTTGAAAATAATTAGAGTTCCTCGACTGATTCTCAAAATTCTGATCGTTCCCCTATTTCCGATAATTTCTGGGGTATATCTGTCTATTGCTATATTGTTGATATTGTCTATTATATATACGGAACTTTTTTTCCACTAAATATGGGAATGCATTTTATTGCATGTTGATACGAGAAAAAGTTTTAGAAAAAATTCTTACAGTTTCATCATTGAAAAAGGGAATTAATATGATATTAATTAGAATAAAATAAAAAATTCATTTATTTACTCAAGTCGTCACTTACCAAAAACAAAAAAAAAATTAAATTTTGAATTTCTGAAAACGATTTTACAAAATAAATAAACTCAAATATCTTAGCTATTTTATAATGTATTTAATTGAAATAAATTACATTAGTTTTGGTATAAAATACACAAACTTTGAAAAAAGCATTTAAAAATTTTGTTGATAGATAAAGTTATTTATATTTAATGGTTTTTTCACACACAGCAAAATTGGCAAATATTTTGAACTAAAAGTTTGACTTCAATTCTTTGTTGTATATGTTGTATGTATATTTAAAAGTGCAAACTTCATTTTTATTCTACAAACAGGTATCTGAAAGCATTTATATGTGAAAGGTTAAAGCATAGTCAAAAAAATAATATGGGGGTAAAGTCTTAGCTGAACATTTATTATAAGTGGTTGAACATGTTATATTAAAAAATGGAAAATTATTATGATAGAAAACAGTAAACAATTGTTATAAAACTTAAAGACGTTACACCAACTAATAAAACTTGTTTATTAAAAAAGTTCACCTTACATGGTAAAAAATCTGTGGAAACGCTATATTTTGTAAAAAATAAAGTAGGCGTAGGTGAACTGAAACAAGCAATTAAAACATGATGCGTACCACATGGATGTTCTGAGATATTCACAATAGACAGAATGTCTTACACAATATCTACTATTAACTATTCAAAAGATTACAAGAAGCATCTTGTTGCTGATGGTTTTCACGAACAAAAGCTGAATTTTAAAAGGTTTTTTTGTAGAATAACATGAAAAAAGTGTGGTAAATAAAGCCTGTAAGTGATAAGGACTTGACGATTCTTATTATAGTAAAATAAATCACTGTTACCACTTTGGATCCTTTTCTATGGATTTATTAAATATTTATGTACATTCTTAAAGTGTGTGTGTAAATAAATGCATAATAATGTTTATTAACAAGTATGTAAATTTATAAAACTCCAATTTTCATATCACTGAAATATTCAATGAGTAAAATAAATTTGCAGAGTTTATTTTGTAGAGTTTCTTAAATAACTCAACATCATGGTAAAAGCTTTTGAGACTTGATCAGGCAGAGAGATCTAGATCTCTTTGTGAATGGTAAGACTAACTTATGACTATATATAATGTCGTTGCTCGATTTCACTTCATTTACTCTTTCTACTATATCATCCTTTACAAAATCTACTCCTTCTCCGTTAATATGTCCCTTTTTTTCTGTTCCTTTATATTTGTAGCATAGCTTTGTCTACGACATCACATGTAAACTTATTTCCCACCAGGTAACCTGTAGTACTTGGAATTAGGATAAAAAAAAGTTTTATTTTGTTTAAAAGACAATTAACATAGTTTTCATATAAAATTTGTATCTTAACTGTAACGGTATTAGTTTCTTTTGCTTTTTTTATTGATATATCATCATTAACGCGTCAAGAATATATTGTATTTCAAAAAACAAATAAACGCTTGATAATTTTATTGTCACTTTTATCTTTGACAAGTCTGGTAACTTTTTTTTCCTATTCATTTATTGACTATGATAAATAGAAACTGATTACATTCTATATATGTTCTACTGTCTTACAGTAATATCACTGCATTAATCATGTTATTTTCCTGAAGATTATACCATAAATCTGATAGAGTCTATAAATCTGAAGTTTATACCACTGTTCCTTGTATATTTTGAAATTCTTACATTTTAAAATATTTTATCTTTTTTTAGTAAATAACCCTACGTTTTCAATAAAGTTCATGCTGTTCAAAATTATCATTGCTTCTGATTAAATTTAAGCATTCATCACAAACAATAAAAAGATTGTGGAATTTTCGTTTCTTCAATCAATCTAGATAAATTCCTTATCTCCTTGTAGTGTAACCTAAAGGCAAATGTACCTTAATAAATAATTTCTGCATCTTTCTCCTTTTCATTTATATAAAATCCTGTATAAGCAGTAAATTAACATGTTTATCTTTTTTGAAGAGGTTGACTGATGATGGTGTACCACACAAATTTTCGTGCCTACTCAAAATATATAGATTAATTAAGTGACTTTTTTGTTTTTTAAACTTTGTTATGCTTACTAGGCGTTGGAAAATCAATCCCACTACATTTAAAGTCTTGTTGAAATTGTATGTATTGACAAGCATGGTACGCATAGTTTTCTGTGGGTTGTACAGCAGTTAATACGTTTGTAGGCGCGCTCTGTGCTACAGAATAAACAACCGATTTTAGACTGATAACCTAGAGAAAATTTGTCACGATAGTAAACTTTTCATTTTATTCCTCCCCTTACCCCGTCACGCCTCACCACACTGCGTCAGTCCCCTCTACACCGCCCCGTTTTACCATACTGTGCCAGTAGTCTCCTTTACACCTCCTCGCACTACGCTCTGTCTCACCATCCTGCGCTAGTTTCCTTTTTTCTACCCCACACATTGTTAATCCTATTTATTTTTACTTATTTTTATTCCTTACCATATTAAAAAAAAAAAAACAAACAAAAAATTTGAGATTTGAACC